TAGACGTCCGTCCCCCTCCAGGACGGACGTTCAAGAGGCTGACAGAGTAGTTGAATCGGTCAGCCACTTGAACGTCCGTCCTGGAGGGGGACGGACGTCTATATATATTAAACGTCCGTCCTCCTCCAGGACGGACGTTCAAGTGGCTGACAAGTTCAACTACTCTGTCAGCCTCTTGAACGTCCGTCCTGGAGGGGGACGGACGTTTAATATATTTAGACGTCCGTCCCCCTCCAGGACGGACGTTCAAGGGACTGATGGGTTGAACTTCTGTCAGTCTCTTGAACGTCCGTCTTGGAGGGGGACGGACGTCTACTATATTATAGACGTCCGCCCCTGCCACAACGGACGTTCAAAAGACGTTTAAAATAAGGACTTAGTAACCAAAACGCGAACCCGCGAGGAGTTATGCGAACCCGTGAGAGTTCCCTCTGCGCCTTGCATTTCTAGGTTGGTTTTTATCTGTTTTGGACCGTTTAATCTTACTTTTATTCCGATTAAATTGTTCAGTAATGAAATGTCTTTCATTTGGACCGATTAAAAATCATTTTCTGTGCATTTTTGTGCAGTTTGTAGAGTGTTCTTGGGCGGCGTTTTTGGCCTACGTTTTAGGTCGTTTACTCCTCCGTCTCCCTCCATTTTCATTTCGAATCTGCTCTTCAGACGTGTTGCAGTGCACAAAAAAACGTCCAAAACCTGTAATCCTAAATAACCCGTAAATAACCCGTCTAATAAAGCCCTTTCTGCAGTAGTGTATAGACGTCCGAGAGGTTCGCAGCGGACGTCTATATAGACGTCCGCCTGACACAGCGGACGTCTATATAGACGTCCGGCCTGACACAACGGACGTCTATATAGACGTCCGGCCTGACACAACGGACGTCTACATAGACGTCACCTGTAAAGACGTCGGTCGAACGTCGGACGTCAAAAAGCCTAAAGAACGGACGTCTATGGCCCTTTCTGCACTAGTGGTTGTTTTGATGCATGGGTATGTATGAGAATATGCTTTGCATGATAATAGGGTTTATATCATGTTTGTATTGGGTTTTCCCTGTGTAAAGTACATATGTTTTTGTTGGGTTATTCTATAATAGGTATTAATGCTAAAGGAGAACAAAGTTATGATGCTTGAGGGGGTTTTACCATGAAAATATATGTTATAAAGATGGTATGATAATCATATATAGAATACTGGGTTTGTTAGGTTATAATTTGCATAATGATGTGTTTTGGATGATTCAAGTGACATAATGTATGCATTAGGGTTTGATCATAAGGGTGTATGAGGTCAAAATACATGCATGACGTATTAGATATGTTTGCTCGTGATCTACGGTTGTTGTATGTGTGTTTTAAACACTTGAATTTTGTCCAAGATGTGTTTTGAATTGACAATAATCAATTATTATTAGTTATAATCAATTATCTACGCATTGATTTTGAGTGTTCTTTCAGGAATAATCGATTATCCTTTGATGTATGATGAATTTGGAAGTTCGTTGTGTTAGAACCATAAAATAATCAATTATCATAAGTGATAATCGATTATCACAGATTATTTTGTGTAAATGTGAACCTCTGGGGAATAATGGATTATCACTTATGATAATCGATTATCTTAGTGTATTTTTATTGGAAAAGTGTGTTTTGATGAAGAAGGGACGTGGACCAAGCTTGAGGAGCTAGGAAATGTGAGAGAGTGAGGTTAGTGATTATGTTTAGGGTCAGTTTTGACTTGTAGTTGAGGTTGAAGCATGAGTGAGTGTTAGGGTGTACCTGAGTATGTTGTTGATGAGCATGAGAGTGGAGGATAGGTTTACTAATTGTATTTAGTAAATCCTGGTTCTATCTGCAGAGGGTGCTTCCTTTTGCCTTGTGTACAAAGGAAGGGTTATTCCGGTATTGAACCTTCCTTGTGTGGGGGTGATAGTGTTATCCTTATCCTTGTGTGACAAGATTACTTGTTCTTAAGCTGTATTGCGAGACTACTCGAACATATCTATAGGACATGCTACAAATTGGTTTGTAGGAGCAGTTATATATTGATCTATAGGAGCGACTACAAACAAGTGAGGTAGGGTACAAGAGTGAGACTGACTCTTTCCACTAGGGTATTCATGGTACGGTGATGTTCATGGTGTTGTTTATGACTAGGATAGTAATGACAGTGATGTATCTATGATGATGATCATGGTATTGGAGATGCTCCAGGTGATGCTATGTTGATAATGATGTTACTATAATGGTTATAGTAAGTAGTTAGGATTGGTGCTAATGAGTGGATAGACCAAGGGTCTATGTGTGAGATGTTAGTAATATCATCAATGGTCAAGGAATCAAGGATCGAGGATCGAAGATCAAGGATCAAAGATCGGGGATCGAGAATTGAGTAATTCATTCTGACTAAGTTGTCATGCTAGAGGATTAGGAATCTTATTGTTATGACTATTGGGTATCGGGTGGTTTATGGTTGATATATATTTAGTGTGTTTATATCTTATTATTATTATGATTGTTTTATAGGTAGCTTACCTCATACGTATTTGTGTTTGTGTGATATGAATGAAATTATCAGTGATGATCGTATAATGTGTTATACGTGAGCATATGATGTTGCAGATGGTGTTGAGGCATGATAGATTCGAGAGCTGACGGGGAACAAATTTGGAATTTTTAAAGAAAGCTGTTTTGTTAAATTTAAGACAATGTAGTTGGAATTATTTTATTTCATTCGTTATTTCCATTATTTTGAATAATGTAATTGGACAAGTCTTTTGAAACTCATATGCTTTGAATAAATTATACATGTTTAAATAGTAAGGTTTTGAAAAATTTGTTTCCGTGCTATGATAGAAAGTTGAAGTTTCCACTTTTTTAATAACTCATGACACCTTAAAATTTGGGGGCGTTAGAATTGTCATCGTTGTTTGTTTTTTTGTTTAAATGACTTTTTCTCTTCTCATGAACTCCTTAAAGTGTACTTTCACATCTAAATAACCTTGATTATCTTAATGTTCATTGAGAATCTTCATAGAGTTTCTTAATCACTCAACACTATATTCTTTAAAATAAAAAGTGGGTTGTTATTAAGTATATAATTTTTGTATTGTAGATCCTTTTAGTAAATGAAGTATTATTTATCTTTCAATAATTTAGTTTTTCTCGTATACGATTTGTAAATATATTTTATATACTTGGTTTGTGTTTTTTTATCAACTATGTAATGGTTTAAATATTAGTAAATTGAATCCAATTAGAGTGTTATAATTAAAAACAAGACTTTATCCATACACTTGCATTTATTAAACTAATATAACTTTTCAATTACTTTTGTTGTTTAATTACTATTACAAATTTGGTTATTAAAAAAATTGAAAATATTCTTACATATTGATAAAAAAATAATTAACTACGATATTTAGAAGTGAAATGAAAACTCTCAGTTCAAAAGTATAAATATTATCCTCATTAGTTTTAAGTGTTTCTAAGTAAATACTTAAGTAGAAAAAGAAAATCTATTAAAAGTGATCAAATGATGTTTTTTATGTGTACAAAATCAATAACAAGGTTAAAAAAAACATGGCATCTAAGGTTAAAAATGCAACATTGGTGTGATAAATTTGATAATGAAAAGTGGCAAGTGATGGTGATGCAAGACCAAATATGGCTATTCCTTATGTAACGTGCTACCAGTGCTCCATCTTTTCAACAAAAGGAATAAATACAAAAGAAAAATGTCAATTTATATAAATCACTCCAAATTTAGGTTATGTTTAAACTAGTTTTTACATAAACTTTCTCAAAGAAATAAAATTACTCATAAGTTAAAATTAAATAATAAATAAGTTAAAATAAAAATTTAGATTTTTATGCAAATGTATAAATTAATTTTAATTTGCAAAAAAAAAAAGAGTTGGTGTGAAATTTGTTCCAAAGATCCTTAAGTTATTCTTTGATAATGAGAGACAAGGAATAGAATAAAAGGACGTGATTGTTTATTCCTTTGTTTTTCACTTCAATTTCGAAATCGCGTTTGCTCAGAATAATAAACGAGGCGAAGTCATACCGTGTGCCGCCCCACTATACAAATAAATCACATATCATTAACCATAACAGCAAATATATTATTATAGTGTCGAGATTATCTTATAATCTTTACATAAGACATTTTTATTAGAAGATAATTAAAATTTAAGTTTCAAAAACCGGCTAACGGTAAATTTAAAACTCATGATAAGTAAACCGCTAATTCATAAAAATAAATCTTTAAGAAAAAAACTTTTTTTCTCAAAAAAAATTAGTTATGATAAAAGGTATTCTAATATGAGAAGCTCTAAAAGTAATCGTGGTATAATAGAATAAAAAAATCAACTAAGATGATTGAAAAACGTAATTATAACGTATCTATGACAATGAAATTATTGTATTAGTACGGAAAACGGACACGTTGCTCCCACCAATTCGGAAGCGGTTTTCCGTTACCGCGTTAAGTCATGTACCAAATTTGAATTGCAATTTTTAAGTGTTTATTTATGACATTAATTAATCGGTTGACCTGTAATATCTTGCCACGTACCCTTGTCGTGGCTTCCATGTCCTTGTTAATCAATTATTGTGTTTTGAAAATTGGAACACTCTGGGCAACTTCATAGGTTTATTAGAATTTATGATACACCGCCTCCACACGTCGTCAAACCGACATCAAAACATATATATATATACACACACAAAAGACAGTTTCATACATCTAGTTTAAATTTTTGGTACAGTCTGTGAATTTGTTTGGTCCAACATACAGACATATAGAAAGGAGTGTGTATTGTGAGATGGGGCAGAAGGTTGGGTTAGAGGATGTTGTGAGATACTTTGATGAAGATGGTGATGGAAAGGTTTCGCCTTTGGAGCTGAAGCAGGGGTTAGGGATGATGGGTGGTGAGCTTCTGTTGAGAGAGGCTGAGATGGCAATTGCATGTTTGGATTCTGATGGAGATGGGTTGCTGAGTTTGGAGGATTTCGTTGCTCTGATGGAAGGTGGAGGAGAGGAGCAGAAGTTGAAGGACTTGAAGGTGGCTTTTGAGATGTATGACATTGAAGGCTGTGGCTTTATAACTCCAAAGAGCTTGAAGAGGATGCTTAAGAAGATGGGTGAGTCCAAGACCCTTGATGAATGCAAAGCAATGATCAAACACTTTGATTTGAATGGCGATGGCTTCCTCAGCTTTGAAGAATTCAGAATCATGATGCAGTGACCCATAACGCTCATATTTCATTCATTCTTTTGTACATCATGTGTATGTATATTTCTTAATTATGGTGTATTCTGGTTCATTAGTGCCCAATTATTTGTTATGAATAAAGGAATATAATGTTTTTGGATCAAGTTTTACTAATCTCTTGACTCATCCTGATTAGTTGATTCTGAAACGAAATCTTTAACATCTAGTAAATCATATTCATGTAAATAAAGGGATTTTTTAAAAGTTGTGTTAAGTGTTTTGTTTTGCAATTACAAATATATAATCTTGTTTCTAAATCAATAATTTCGAAGTTGCTATTCGCACTCTCATTCTCCGTTTGGACATATTATCTTTACGGTTTTATAAAAAAATCCTGAATATTTCAGTGTGCAATATTTTAAAATGGACTAAATATGATTCTACTCTTTTAACTTCAATGCAAAATTAGATTTAAACTTTGATACAATTTAATTTTTAAACTTGAAAAATAAATAAATATGATTCTCCTTACTCAATTGTTAATGATGAAATGTGAGGCAGATAATGTAAGTCAACATGCAGACCCACAAAAACATTATTTTTAATCTCTTAATCCGTTTAGTTTTGTCTCGCATAACCCTTAATTCACATAGGTCAACTACTGATACCTGTAATTGGCTTGCATAGCTTACATTAACTTAAATTCAACAACCCGTAATGTGTGTTTTTTTTAAACAATTTGCTCAAATTGTGTTTCTTATCATATTCATCTATAGCAATACCTTGCTCATACGCATCCAACTCATCCAAAAATAGTTTCTTCATTTGCATGTTTTTTCTTGTTTCGATTCAGGTCAAAGTCTCTTTGTTTCACTCTGGTTCAAAGTCATTTTTATTCTCAACATACTTATTCTTAAAAGTTAAAAATTATAAAATTAAATATTACTATTTTAGAAAATAAATTTATAAAATCTATTATTTCTACTAATTTATTAAATAAAAATAAATAAATAAATTACAAAAGAAATATTTTTTTATATTCACTACAAGTCTGAACTAAATCTTTTATATAATTTGTAAACTGGCCTACAAACTCGCATGCCAAATGTTAGACTATTTCTCCTTATAGTTCTAAAGATTTCTTTTTTCACCTCTAAAACACCAAAATATCTTTCAGTAAAACTAAAAAATAATTAAAAGAATTAAAATTTTCAAAATCTCGTTAAAATTCTCAGTTGATTTTGAAATCTATTGAGAAATGTAACGGATTTCAAATCTGTTACATTTTTCAACGGATTTCGAAATTTGTTACATTTTTCAATGAATTTCAAAATTCATTCAGAATTATTTTTAAATTTTTTTTAATTTTATTCTTTTGTATTTTTTTGTTTTTAATTTTTTTAAATATATTTTACTTGTTTTAGTCTAATAAAATATATGTTAAAATATTAAAATATTAGCATATATTAAATTTAATTAAATATTTACTAACTTTTAAATTGAAAAAAAATTAAGAATATGTCAAAACGGATTTCAAAATTTGTTAACATATATGTATTGAAAGTCTTAAATGGATTTTGAAATCCTCACATTTCATTGAACATTTTAATGAATTTTAAAATTTGTTGAAGACCTGAACAGATTTTCAAATCTATTGAAATTTTCAAAAAATATTTTAAAGAATTTTGTAAGATTTGGGAAAATAGGAGTTTAAAAATAAAGTAGTTTTGATACTTTGTGTTTTTGTTAGAACATAATTGTTGTGTTATTTATTTATTTTTGTGTTTTTGCTTAGGGACAAAAAAAGTCTTTTACCTTTATTTAGTTGGTGCAGAAATTCATTACGGGGTGTTTTTGTGTTTAGAAACCCTAGAAACTCTAAATCAAAGTGAGAAAACAAAGAAAGAGAGGACATTGGCGTTTTGGGACAAGAAGAGAGAGAGCGATGAGAAACTCTTAGTGTAAAGGAAGATTGATGGTGTTTTAGGATTGTAGGTAAAACCTTATGATTGGCCAAGGTATGTGGAAGCTTACCTTTATTTATTTATTTATGGTTGTATGTTATATGTGTACTTGATTATCTTGATTGGTAATCCTTGTTTTAATACATGTGTATATGAATATGATTATATGTGGTTGTTGTTGGGTAAGAGTTTGTGTATCAATGGGTATAGGGTTTATGTAATATTTGTGATGAAATTTTCCTATGAATGTATTATATATGTTTTGTTGGGTTATCCCAACAAAGGGTTTGATGCTAAGGGAGAACAAAGTTATGATGCTTGGGGGTTTCTATGCAAATATATGTTGTAAGGGTTGAGTTATTGGGCTCCCTTCCTGTGGAGAATAGACCAAATAATGTTGATCATTATGTCTCACTTTGTTTTAGTGGAGATGGTTTAGATTAGTAGGGTACATTAGAGTCATTTGAAGAGAGGGAAAAGCCAAGAGAGAGAGAAAGGAAGAGAAGAAGTCATTCCCGCATAACATAAAACCTACACTGGTGTTTTCGTCGTTGTGAAGTTGTTCACCGTGGACAGTGGGTTCCAGACTTATGGTTCTTCATTCTGACCGTTTGAATCGTCAATCAGAGGTCTAGATCGAGAGAAAATAGTCTCGCATCAACAACTCTGTTTTGAAGAATATCATAAAATCTACAATAGTGTTTTCGTCAATGTGAAGTCGGTCACCATTGGATCGGGCTGATTTTTGGACAATGGGTTCCAGACATATGTTTCTTCATTTTGACCGTTCGAATAATCGATTATCATTAGTTATAATTGATTATCTACGCGTTGGTTTTGAGTGTGGTTTCGGGAATAATCGATTATCTGGGATGATAATCGATTTTCCCTTCTTGTGTGATGTTTCTAGGTGAATTTCACTAAGATGATTGATTATCTTAAGTGATAATCGATTATCAAAAATTATTTTGGTGAAAAATGGTGAATTTAATGAAGAATGGACGTGAACCATGCCCAAGAATAATGTTTCAGAGGCATGATTGACTCGAGAAAGATGGAGAATAATCTTAAAATTCATTCAAAGCTATTTCTTTTTACAAGTTAAGATAATATAATTAAAGTATTTCTTTCATTATTTTGTTACTCTAGAATAAGATTTTTTTAAGTATGTTTTTGTAGTATGGTAAATTTTTTAATTTTACCAATTTTTAATAATTCATAGCATCCTAGAAATTGATGTTACATATTTTGAAATCCATTGAAACGTAAAAAGTGGAAGGTGTAAGATTTTTTGAGTTGCAGACAATCTTAAAAATAATTACTTTAAGTTAAAAAAAGAAATTACAAACGATAGTTTTGAAATTTAAAAAAAAAGGTTTAATACCTATTTTGGTCTCTCGGTTTGTGAGGTTTATTCAAAGTTATCCTATCTTTTTTTAGACATTCACAATTATCCCATATTTGGTAAAAAATGGTTCAAGTTGATCCTTTTTGCTTACGACGTTAAAAAACTAACGACACTTAACCAACCTGTACAATCTTTCATTACGTGGCAACTGTGTTGCCTAATTGACGTGACACCTAGTATTTCAAAATAACTAAGATTTACTTCTTCACCCAAAAACCAAGAAGCAATGTAACACCATCGTACGGTTGCGGTGCAACCAAAGACGTCATCGACACTGTGTTTGGCATCGCCGTCGGTGACACTCCCATTCTTCCTACTCTGTGTGCTCACTCTCTTATGTCAATTTCTATGTTCCAAGAAAGAAAAACAAACTAGAAAAAGCAAATGACTGCCTAAATTTGGAAAGTTTCACGAAAAGGAAAAGTGGATTTGAACAATCAAAAGGGGGGAAAAATCTGAATTGATTCAGATCTGGAGGATTAGAGAGATACCCATTAAAGGAAAAATGAAGAACTATTATATACTATCCACATCACACACATCATCTTATTCATTCACAATTCAATTACTACAAAATCTATTAAGGTTTGATTATTGATAACTATCAAGAACATGTCTCAAAATAAAAGGAAAACTTATAGGCATATTAAATCATCAGTACTTAAAAAAGTGAAAAAATGTTATGAATAAAAATACATATATGTATGTAAAATCTTTAACTGATATAAAATACTTGTTAAGAAAAGTAACATGTTGAAATGGAGAAATAGGAGAAAAAAGAAAAAAAGAAAACAAAAGAAGAAAGATGAAAGGCGAAAGCGCAGACCAACAATCGTATATAATATGTGTGTTGGTGGTTGTGGCAAAGATATGAGAAAGCCCTTACTCATGGCAAAGACCCTCGGACAGAAGCAAATCAACAATTTACAACTTCCACTTAATTTATTTCTACTCAAATTAAAAAGCCCGAAACAGGGGAAAAATGTGTAAACATTAATTATGTCGTCAATGAGTTTGAAAATGGCTTCCCCGCTGGCTTGGAGAGTGCGACGAAGATCACCATCGGTGAAAGTTTCGGTCAAACAATATCGGTCATCGATCACGAGGAGGCATCCGCATACTTTACTCGTCAGTTCCATAAGTTGAGAGCATAGAGCAGAGCTTCCGGTGTGTGATACTCCTATATTGGGTAATCTTATAATGTTGCCATGTCAATTAAGTCACACAGTTGTCACATGAAAAATCAAACAATCTGGATAAGTTTGGTTAGTTTTTTTTAACGTTATAAGAAAAAAAATCAGCTCGAACCGTTCAATATGGAATACCTGTGAACGTCTAAAAAAGATAGGACAACTTTTAATAAACCTCATAAACAAGAAACCAAAATAAATATTAAACCTAAAAAAAAAATTGAAAGTGCACGAAGATATAGTTTGAGGTACAGGGAGAAACTTTCGAAATATTATGCAAGACCATTCTACTTTTATGGAGACCAAATAAACCAACCCACATTAACATCCTATTGTTTGTACTAAATATTTTTAATTAATTGTACTAAATATTTTTAATGTATTTCAAACTTATGTTTGGACCAAAACAACTGACTTGCATTATCATCTTACCAATTATATTTTTTTTTAATATATTTTAAGCTGACATTTAAATTGTTTATCGAATCTAACAATTATAAATCATATGCGAACCTAGAATAAAAAATATTAATATCATTAAATTAGAAAAGTAATATCCATTTATTTCTATAATTTAGAAACAAAATAAAAATGAAATCCATTTCAAAATTTGTCACTACTTTATTAAAAATAAATATACACTACCTTAATTTTTATTTGTTTTTTTTAACTAGAAAACGCTATATCTATTTATTTCTAATATTTCTAAAACTTAGAGACAAAAAGAGAAAAATGAATTCCATTTCAAAATTTATTACTTTATTTTATTAAGAAAAATAAACACTACCTTAATTCTTTTTTGTTTTTTTTTCAAACTAGAAAACTCTAATAAAAGCCTACAAAGATAAAGACTAGTGAAATATTTTAAGAATTCAAGGGATCAAAATATTTAATCCATACAATAACGGGAATAATGTAGACATTTTTTTCAAAGCATGATAATGCGATGGATACATTCTTCTGTCAAAAGATTGGACAAATAACAGTAAACTCACTAGTGATAAAATCATTAATGATTTAATGTGATTGTCATCGTTATATCGATTACTACACAAACTACATGACATAAATCCCGACATTATTTGTTGAAATTAACATGCAAAACGCCAATTTTTTGTCATTAATAACTGTTCCGAGTATTGCCAGTATTGAAAGTTGAATAAATTTTGCATTGCGAAGGAGATTGAACTAAGGGATTTTCTATGATATGATGCATATGTACATACGACAGAAAGCAGGGATGATCTAAATGCTTATTGTTTGTTTTCCATTAGGAGGGGCAATAAATGCTTTCACAGGGGTCGTTATGACTCTTGTTTTGGGAGAGACATTTTCAACACACATCTTTGGAGAGGTGGCGGCCAGGGGATGAGGAACAAAATAGATGCAGCAGAGCCTGTTCACTATTCTGCAAGGCTCCACTCCTTTCAAAACCCACCATCCCACAGGTTAGGATAAAAAAATACTCGAAAAACCTATATTTCACCTTATAAACGAAACGGGCTCGGCATCAAGCCCTGCAAGCGTTATGAGGCCGGCACAAAACTACAAATACTGGAGGCTTCTAGAACATGAGGGGCAGCAATAGGAAAAACATTTGTACAAAGGGTTTTCTCACATGAAATAGCTTAATGTTCTTTTTACTCTTGAACCACCTTCACCGTATAGTTCATTCCATTGTTGAAGCTCCGTCATATTTACGGATTCAGAGGAAACGCTTGCACACACCTGTTTCAACATGACAAAGTTATATATATATCTATTTTAAGAGAGGGAGGATCTTCGTATGAAAGAGACCCCTTTCATATACCTGTTGATGAGCATACTTGAAATCTTCCATGTTTAAAGATCGGATATCTGCACTTCCACTTATTGCTGGAGCAGGTCTACCTTCTGCCAGAGCAGCAGCCTGTTCCTGCCATGCATCGAATTATACGATGAGTATAAGTCATTGATGCAAGCTGAAAACATTCTGCCATAAAGTAACTACCTTTTTTTCCTTCTCTAATATCTCTTTAATTGGACAATGTGCAGCAGTTACACACAAATTCTGCAATAAAAGAGCAAGCTTGAAGGCATGTATAACCTTAATTTAAAATGTGTACTAGTTTAAAAAAGAATGCCCATAACCTTAAGGTCACTTCCGGAATATCCATCAGTCATACTTGCAATTGCATTCAAATCAAGACCAGAAGACAAATCTTCTTTTGCCAGTATGACTTTCAATATTTTTGCTCTATTTGGAGCATCTGGCAAATTTACCATTAACCTGCAGAAGACCAATTTGATTAAGAAAAACTTCACACATTTATTAGTTCTATTAAGACCCCCTCTCTTCCCAAATAAGAACACCAAGGAATTGAAGTGCAGTTGAACATGGTGCTCACCTCCGAGGCAGCCTCCTTATGACAGCTTCATCTAGGTCAAAAGGCCTATTAGTGGCTGCAAGCACCAGAACTCTCTCAGTATCCTTCGTGCGTAAGCCATCCCAATTCACCATGAATTCATTTTTCATCTTTCGCATGGCCTCATGCTCCCCAGGATTTTCCCTCCTGCCCAACATGCTATCAACCTATACAAGAAGCCATACTAGTTTTCACTGATTTATTTTTCAGCTGATGAATTAAAGCAAACTAAAAACATTCATGCAAAAGGCTTACTTCGTCAACAAATATCACGCTAGGAGCAATTTTACTTGCCAGGGAAAAAACAGCTTTCACATATTTTTCGCCCTCACCAAACCACTGAAGCAAAATTGGAAAAGAACACAGTTTAAAGAAAAAATATCTAGCAGCATAGACGTTAAAATAAATCCAGTGAAGCAAACCCAACCTTAGATGTGATACTCGACATGGAAATGTTGATGAAATTTGCACCAGCTTCGGTAGCAACTGCCTTTGCAAGCATTGTCTTGCCTGTTCCAGGAGGACCAAATAAAAGAATGCCCTTGCATGGCTGCATGGAAGTCAATCAGAATCACAAAATCTGATGAGTAAAAAAACTTGACAATGGGTGGGCTAAAAATTTACTTTATTTTAATATTTGTGAGTATTATTACTTAAGTAAAAAAAAATATTCCAATATTAGGAAACAACACCAAAACGAGTTTCTTAAAAACAATTGCATATCACTGATACTCTAAGCTCTCAAGGAAACTTGTAATCCCTTGCGAACATGCCATGCCACACATTTAAAAACTACTTAGACACCATGAGCAGGGTCAGATTATTTATTTCCCGTTGATCAGTAAAACAGAAAAAAGAAAATAGTAAAAAGCAGGGAAGGAAATAAACAACAATAGAATCTAACTCCAACAGTCAATAGACAAAGGGGAATGCATCTTAAACAATAGAATGTATTTCAATCTGTATAGTATACCTTGGTTAATTGCCCTTTGCAAAATAACTCAGGCCTCTGTAAAGGAAGCATAACCAATTCCTTCAATGTATCCTTGACGTTTTCAAGAGCTCCAATATCCTCAAAAGTAACACCAATGTCGTTAGGTGGAATAACATCAGCCAAAAGCCTCTTTTCAAACTCATTTTCTGTTACAATATCCTGATTTCAAAAACATAAGAGGTATATTTCAGAAAACAGCTCTCATGAAATCAAATGGTTAAACCCTATAAACAGAATAACTTCCAAGTAGTAAGTTGGGAACAAACTACTACATGTCGCTATCTCCCACAATCAAACCAGCAAAAGTTCATAACAACAACCTTAAGAGACTTCTTCAGGCTTTTTGACTCATTCTGGATAGACTGTAAGATGCCAATTCCATACTGGATGCTGGCAGAATAAAAAATAGCTAATGATTAATAACATGACCCTTAAGTGTTTTATATGTGTGCATGTATATTAAATAATTACCTCTCACAAGACAACACAAGCTTTGCATCAGGATCAGTTTCAGCATTCTGCATGAGATGTCGGCTTATAGCCCAACCAACAATCTTCTCTGCATCTGTAATATAGCAAAAATGATATAGAAGAGATTTAAACAGTAAAACCTTAAGCACTTACTAGTAGAACATACTTTCAATACTAAGTGTTTGATCCTTAATGCACAAGGATTCAAGCCCTTCACATTCCACCCCANTTTTAAGCTGACATTTAAATTGTTTATCGAATCTAACAATTATAAATCATATGCGAACCTAGAATAAAAAATATTAATATCATTAAATTAGAAAAGTAATATCCATTTATTTCTATAATTTAGAAACAAAATAAAAATGAAATCCATTTCAAAATTTGTCACTACTTTATTAAAAATAAATATACACTACCTTAATTTTTATTTGTTTTTTTTAACTAGAAAACGCTATATCAATTTATTTCTAATATTTCTAAAACTTAGAGACAAAAAGAGAAAAATGAATTCCATTTCAAAATTTATTACTTTATTTTATTAAGAAAAATAAACACTACCTTAATTCTTTTTTGTTTTTTTTTCAAACTAGAAAACTCTAATAAAAGCCTACAAAGATAAAGACTAGTGAAATATTTTAAGAATTCAAGGGATCAAAATATTTAATCCATACAATAACGGGAATAATGTAGACATTTTTTTCAAAGCATGATAATGCGATGGATACATTCTTCTGTCAAAAGATTGGACAAATAACAGTAAACTCACTAGTGATAAAATCATTAATGATTTAATGTGATTGTCATCGTTATATCGATTACTACACAAACTACATGACATAAATCCCGACATTATTTGTTGAAAATAACATGCAAAACGCCAATTTTTTGTCATTAATAACTGTTCCGAGTATTGCCAGTATTGAAAGTTGAATAAATTTTGCATTGCGAAGGAGATTGAACTAAGGGATTTTCTATGATATGATGCATATGTACATACGACAGAAAGCAGGGATGATCTAAATGCTTATTGTTTGTTTTCCATTAGGAGGGGCAATAAATGCTTTCACAGGGGTCGTTATGACTCTTGTTTTGGGAGAGACATTTTCAACACACATCTTTGGAGAGGTGGCGGCCAGGGGATGAGGAACAAAATAGATGCAGCAGAGCCTGTTCACTATTCTGCAAGGCTCCACTCCTTTCAAAACCCACCATCCCACAGGTTAGGATAAAAAAATACTCGAAAAACCTATATTTCACCTTATAAACGAAACGGGCTCGGCATCAAGCCCTGCAAGCGTTATGAGGCCGGCACAAAACTACAAATACTGGAGGCTTCTAGAACATGAGGGGCAGCAATAGGAAAAACATTTGTACAAAGGGTTTTCTCACATGAAATAGCTTAATGTTCTTTTTACTCTTGAACCACCTTCACCGTATAGTTCATTCCATTGTTGAAGCTCCGTCATATTTACGGATTCAGAGGAAACGCTTGCACACACCTGTTTCAACATGACAAAGTTATATATATATCTATTTTAAGAGAGGGAGGATCTTCGTATGAAAGAGACCCCTTTCATATACCTGTTGATGAGCATACTTGAAATCTTCCATGTTTAAAGATCGGATATCTGCACTTCCACTTATTGCTGGAGCAGGTCTACCTTCTGCCAGAGCAGCAGCCTGTTCCTGCCATGCATCGAATTATACGATGAGTATAAGTCATTGATGCAAGCTGAAAACATTCTGCCATAAAGTAACTACCTTTTTTTCCTTCTCTAATATCTCTTTAATTGGACAATGTGCAGCAGTTACACACAAATTCTGCAATAAAAGAGCAAGCTTGAAGGCATGTATAACCTTAATTTAAAATGTGTACTAGTTTAAAAAAGAATGCCCATAACCTTAAGGTCACTTCCGGAATATCCATCAGTCATACTTGCAATTGCATTCAAATCAAGACCAGAAGACAAATCTTCTTTTGCCAGTATGACTTTCAATATTTTTGCTCTATTTGGAGCATCTGGCAAATTTACCATTAACCTGCAGAAGACCAATTTGATTAAGAAAAACTTCACACATTTATTAGTTCTATTAAGACCCCCTCTCTTCCCAAATAAGAACACCAAGGAATTGAAGTGCAGTTGAACATGGTGCTCACCTCCGAGGCAGCCTCCTTATGACAGCTTCATCTAGGTCAAAAGGCCTATTAGTGGCTGCAAGCACCAGAACTCTCTCAGTATCCTTCGTGCGTAAGCCATCCCAATTCACCATGAATTCATTTTTCATCTTTCGCATGGCCTCATGCTCCCCAGGATTTTCCCTCCTGCCCAACATGCTATCAACCTATACAAGAAGCCATACTAGTTTTCACTGATTTATTTTTCAGCTGATGAATTAAAGCAAACTAAAAACATTCATGCAAAAGGCTTACTTCGTCAACAAATATCACGCTAGGAGCAATTTTACTTGCCAGGGAAAAAACAGCTTTCACATATTTTTCGCCCTCACCAAACCACTGAAGCAAAATTGGAAAAGAACACAGTTTAAAAGAAAAAATATCTAGCAGCATAGACGTTAAAATAAATCCAGTGAAGCAAACCCAACCTTAGATGTGATACTCGACATGGAAATGTTGATGAAATTTGCACCAGCTTCGGTAGCAACTGCCTTTGCAAGCATTGTCTTGCCTGTTCCAGGAGGACCAAATAAAAGAATGCCCTTGCATGGCTGCATGGAAGTCAATCAGAATCACAAAATCTGATGAGTAAAAAAACTTGACAATGGGTGGGCTAAAAATTTACTTTATTTTAATATTTGTGAGTATTATTACTTAAGTAAAAAAAAATATTCCAATATTAGGAAACAACACCAAAACGAGTTTCTTAAAAACAATTGCATATCACTGATACTCTAAGCTCTCAAGGAAACTTGTAATCCCTTGCGAACATGCCATGCCACACATTTAAAAACTACTTAGACACCATGAGCAGGGTCAGATTATTTATTTCCCGTTGATCAGTAAAACAGAAAAAAGAAAATAGTAAAAAGCAGGGAAGGAAATAAACAACAATAGAATCTAACTCCAACAGTCAATAGACAAAGGGGAATGCATCTTAAACAATAGAATGTATTTCAATCTGTATAGTATACCTTGGTTAATTGCCCTTTGCAAAATAACTCAGGCCTCTGTAAAGGAAGCATAACCAATTCCTTCAATGTATCCTTGACGTTTTCAAGAGCTCCAATATCCTCAAAAGTAACACCAATGTCGTTAGGTGGAATAACATCAGCCAAAAGCCTCTTTTCAAACTCATTTTCTGTTACAATATCCTGATTTCAAAAACATAAGAGGTATATTTCAGAAAACAGCTCTCATGAAATCAAATGGTTAAACCCTATAAACAGAATAACTTCCAAGTAGTAAGTTGGGAACAAACTACTACATGTCGCTATCTCCCACAATCAAACCAGCAAAAGTTCATAACAACAACCTTAAGAGACTTCTTCAGGCTTTTTGACTCATTCTGGATAGACTGTAAGATGCCAATTCCATACTGGATGCTGGCAGAATAAAAAATAGCTAATGATTAATAACATGACCCTTAAGTGTTTTATATGTGTGCATGTATATTAAATAATTACCTCTCACAAGACAACACAAGCTTTGCATCAGGATCAGTTTCAGCATTCTGCATGAGATGTCGGCTTATAGCCCAACCAACAATCTTCTCTGCATCTGTAATATAGCAAAAATGATATAGAAGAGATTTAAACAGTAAAACCTTAAGCACTTACTAGTAGAACATACTTTCAATACTAAGTGTTTGATCCTTAATGCACAAGGATTCAAGCCCTTCACATTCCACCCCACAACGGCTCAAAACCTATAATTATGAAACACAATTTAGTACATCATGAAAGCAATTACAATCAACACATCCGACATGGTCAAATAGTGAATTATTTAAAAAGACTAAGAAGAAACACAATTATAGCTGAAAGAATGTAGGAAAGAGTTGTTAGGAAACCAGTAACGGAAGATAAGAATAGAAAACTTCTTTATTTAATATTGAATGAAACAAAGAAAAGGAAGCAATTAATCACGAAGGGGAGGGGAGGGGGCTTTCTACCAGTGGTTCAATTCCCAAATGCCACTATAATAGTTTAGAATGCTCACTCTTATCCTTATGTCCTCCTACTTATTTAACTAACCCCCCACAAATTAACACCCAAAATGTATAATTTTTTTGAACAATTGAATATAGTAGAATGGATTCTTCTCCAGAACCCTAGAAACATTCTAATTCTGTTAATGCCCCTTCCATCCTTATTTTCATCTATGTTTAGAACTAATACCCCCAACAAATTAACTAATCCCTTCTAACTAACAGCACCAAATTTCCCTATCTAAATCTCGCTTCCCTTGGGTCAGAATTTAGAGGGGGGCCTTTAACATGAAGTTATTAAATGAAAAGTACCTTCTCCGTATGTTAAACAGAGCGTCCATAGACATTTTAGGCAAAAAGGGTACTATTTCCTATGGTGAGTAATTGGGTGCAAAGTTTTAAATACAAAAACTGTCTAATAATTATGAAAAACTAAAAGCACGCTATTCCGATAATTTCTAAAAGAGACAAGGAATTAACTACAGAAAACTATACTGTCATCATTAACACTACGCCAGGCTCCTCAAGAACAAGCTAAAGTTCCATTAAGAAACTTACATAATTCCTATCTCTTCATAGTTCATACCACGTTATTTAATTTTTTTGTGGGCCATGCCTTCACCTCTCAATTTTGAGTCATAACTTATGCAGCTAGTGATCAAGGGTTGTACACAAGTAACAAAAGGTTCTACTAACAACAATAGCAGTAATACTAAAGCATAACAACTGCAGAACAACAACGTAATAAATAGCAACCCTGTCCCAGTCTCATAAGAGCTAAAATTGGACCACAAAGACAACATTTAAAATCATTTAGAAGAATAAACCTTGCACAGCCATAATTGCATTTCAAACATCCAAAGACTCCAGTACAAACCTAAAATTATTTATAAACAATAACCCTAGTAATAGATGTGTAGCCACATAAGAAATTACAAGATATGGAATGATTGTGTATTAGAAAATATTAGTGCATGATTGAGTAAAAGATTACGGTAAATAGGTTATCATGGTTTGGATAGATGCATAGAATGTCAGTGAAAGCACCAATGAGAAAAGTAGATTGAATGATTTTCAACCCTGTTAAACTGATGAAAGGACAGCCTTGAAGAATATTGGAAGAATTTCGTTTAGAGGAAACTCACGGTAAATAATTTCGGTAAAAAATTTATCTTCAATCAAGCCTAATGTCATCATGCAATCTACATGGCTAACTTTTGTGGCATAGGGCTTTTATTGTTGATAATAACATCTACGCTTGATATGTGTATCAGTCAAGACAATCACATTTAACAATAATTTGGATGTAAATAATATCAAATTTATAATGAGAAATTATATTCAAGCTTCTTTTCAGCAACATAATTGATGTAACCATGAATTCTATGTGCAGTGCGTGTGGACAACAAATAAAATTTGGCTCAGACACTTCAGAACAAGTTTAAATATCATATCCAGTCTATTTAGTCCTCCTCAAAAATGTGCAGTGCACAAACAGCAAGGTGAGAAAGTAAAGGCAATCATTCATTTAAAGTTAGATGCATTTATGAGGCACTTCAATCAAAACCAACAATAAATGTATCCTTGTTTTCTCACTTTACACACTTGCTCACTTTAGAAGAGCTAGATCCATATCAATTAAAGGATGTACTACCCCAAAAATTATACTAACTATCTTGTACAAAATTTACTTAGGTCCAGAACAACCAATTTATCTTTAAGCACCCATTCCATGTCACCCATACAAATATAAAACCAAACGTATCACCCAAAAGTAGTAGACCCATAATTAAAGACGCAATCCAAAAAAGTAATATTTTGAAAACCAAATATATGGTGTAAGGTTTAATAATAACAATATTATGTTTTACCATGAAAAAAAATTGAATTAAAATTACAAGCTCGCACAAGAACTTACAGAACGTAAATTGTGCAAATTTCCTTTAATTTTAAGAGTCTCAACATCTCGATCAAGTTGCTGCTTCCAAGATGCTAGAAGTACTTCATCCTGGATCAGGAAACATACACTGAATATTGTTAGATATA